AAAAAAAAAAAAAAGAAAAAAAAAAGGAGGAGAAGAAGGGAAGAGGGAGGAGGAGGGGGAGAAGAACAAGAAAAGCTGGGCATGGTAGTGCACACCTGTTATACCAGCACTCAGGAGGCTGAGGCAGGAGGATCACGGTGAGTTCAAGGACAAACTCAGTGAGACCCTTTCTCAAAAAAAAAAAAAAAAATGGAGGAGGAGGAAAAGGAGGAGACGCCCACGTAAGAAGGCACCAGCTGCCCCTGCAGCCACCAACACCACTCAGACCTGTCTCCAACCAAGACTGCACCCCAAACCTAGCCAACACCACTGCCCCAAGGCCACCCGCCTATGACTCTGCATCTCATCCGTACTGTCACAGCAGACTCCGTGGCCCAGGGTGCTGACGGCATGTGTCCGGGCTTGGGACGGAGCTGGGGCCTCACACTCTTGACTGGAGCTCACTCCAAAGCCTCACCCCAGCTCTGCTGTGACAACATTTTATTTTTTAACTCACTTTTTGCCTTTGGGGCCCTGGATTCCATCCCCAGTACTGAAAATAGCAAACAAATAAGTGACTGAGTAAATATGTGCCAGCTGGCACGGTGTGCTCCTGTAGACCCAGCCATGCAGGAGGCTGAGGCAGGTAGATCCCTTGATTTCAGGAGTTGGGAGACCAACCAAACTACACAGTGAGACCCAATTGCAAAAGAAATTAAAAAAAAAAGTTATACTGAATCAAAATTCTCTAGGGAACTTACATATCACACAGAATCCTTCAATGGACACGCAAGACAACTTCTGAACTGGCCCCTAAAGAATTCTGTCACACTTTTCTAGCACAGTCTCCTACTGTCCCCTATCCCATCTTCCTCCCTGACTCCTACCCTTGCCGGTCTGGATAAACCGGACTTTGACCCCTCTCTGCCTTTGATCACATTATTTCTTGTGACTGAAATGCCCTTCTAGTTTTTTGCCTGGCAAAATACTACACAGTCTTTAAGAAGTTGAATTTAAATATCATCTACTCTCATGTCTTCTCCAAAACTTTCTTGGGCATAATCAATTGCTCACTCTTCTCAACTCCCACCACAATTTGTACTTATTTCTGTGATAAAAAAGACAGCACTTATCACAGCATTTTATACTGGTCTATGTAGAGTATCAATTCACATCTTTATCACAAAAGCAGTCTATGGCCCACACATTAATAATGATGATGATGATAAGCATTTACTACTTTGTAGGCTGAGGTAGATACAGAAGCATATGGAAAGCTATTAATCCCACACTTCGTGAGAATCTATAGAATTATTATGGCTGGTGTCTAGATGATCCCCCAAAACCTCATAGGTGAAGCTTTTCAGAAGCGGATGGATCTAGAGTGTGTGATGCTGGGACTGATTCACAGTGCAATGCTAGGATTAAGGGTGCCTCACTGGGTGCTACTTGCCCCTAGGATAAAACAGAATGGACAGAAAAAGGGTTGCTATTGTTGCTACTTGTCACTTGCTGCTTTACTACTTTGCTGCTTGCTGCCTTCTGCTTGCCATGAGCTGCTTCTCTTCTGCCATGCCCCTCTGCCGTGCCACCCTGCCTTGGAGCCAGCCAACTATGAACTGAAATTTCTATAAACTGTGAACTACAATAAGTGTGTCCACTTTTAACTTTGGGTATCTCGTATTATGTCTCAAATAAAAGAAAAGTAACTAAGACACTAATATTCTATTTTTGGCTGCTCTTTCCCCTACAGCATCTCTATTCTTTGAAGATATTACCAAGAATATACACGGAGAGGTCATATACAGTCTTTCTAGTCTATACTAATGCAAAAGAATAATGTTTAAATGAATCTTTTCTCACTGCTCTCTCTGTCAAATGCTGTAGATAACTGAGGTCAAAATATTTTCTTTTGAATTCAAAGTAAAAATAAAACAAAATAACTGAAAATAGTGTGTGTGTGTGTGTGTGTGTGTGTGTGTGTGTGTGTGTGTATTTCCAGGCTGGTGACTGAATCCAGGCCCTCTGCACTGAGCTACATTCTCAGAACTTTTCTTGAGTCTGCGTCCCACAGTCTTTAAATTTCCCAGGCTGGGCTCGAACTTGCGATCCTCTTACCTCAGCCTCCTAGAATGTTGGGATTACAGGTATGTGGCACAACACCCAGACTTGAAAATGGCTGCATTTGTAGAGCAGCAATACATACTAAGGTCTCACCTGAATAAAAACTTTTGTTACTCTTTTCTATCTTCCATACTTTTTTTTTTCCTGGTCCCAGAGATCCAACTCAGGACCTTATGCTTGCAAGGCAGGCATGGTGCCACTGAGCTAAATCCCCAGCCCTGAATAAAAACTTTTAATGAAATCCCTTTGATACTGCTCTTCACTAGCTAAAATTTCTGGCTGCAGATCCAGCTTTTTTAATTCTGTTCTAGCAGTAAGCAGTATTATACTGAGGTCATATTATATATAGTTTTACATGTGATAACACTCATCAGCAACTTTCCCACTCTCCCTGAAGTTGTTACAACTGCAAGTAAAGCATGGTATCAATCATTACTGTTTTCTCCCATCATAGCAATTTCTATTTTTGGCATGTGCTTGACCCTCCTCTACCCCTAAATTTTTGTGACAACAAAAACAATGGGAAGATTCTTCACATTAACTCATCCTTAAGCAGCCCTACTCTTTTTGTTTGTTTTATTTTGTTATTTGAGACAGGGTCTCACTATGTAGTTTCAGGCTGGCCTTGAACTCACTATGTAGCTCAGTCTGTCCTTGAACTCACAGTGATCCTCCTGCCTCAGCCTCCTAAGTGCTGGGATTACAGGTGTGCATCACCACCCTGGCCCTATGCAATCTTATAAACCATCCCATCATGTTAAAAATCAAAATAAATAGAAGGCATGAAGAAATTATCCCAGACAAAGGGAATCTAACATCTGAGAGATACAAGATGCCGATTCCCTGGGTCAGAGCTACAGCCTTAGAGGCTTTTCTGAGTACATACCTTATTTGTTACATAACCAGATGGGCAGGGGCTGACTGGATCATGCAGGGAGCAGTATACGAGTGACTCTGGCATGCCTGTATAAATATGAAAGAAACACTGAAAGTGCTTCCCTCAACAGCTTCACAGTATACAGTGGTGGACAAGGCTACTCTGATCACAGTAAATAGCTGGTATCTGACCTTGGAATTATAGAAGGCCTATCAACCTGAATAAAAATATTGTTTTGAAAATTACTAATCTGTAAAAAAGAATTAAATATAAACGTTAATGTCTAATGATGCAGTGAGCTCCTGCAAAGGAAAGGTAGCTTACAAGATAAAACGAAAAGTATTTAGTGACATGTTGGTTTTCACTTCATTTGATATAAAGAATTTAATATCAAGAAAACTCATTCTAAGAACTATGCAAAAGGACCTTGCTTCTAGGAAAGTGAAATGACAATGTCATTAATAATATGTATGGGTTCCTAGGGACAGATTCATAGGAAGCTGTAGGATACTGAAAACAGGTCTTCTTCTCAGTATATTTTGACTCAAGATGACAGTTTCTTTAGGCTTTTAATGAAAGAGATAGTCATTTTTTTTAAATCCAAAAAATGATTAGTAAACCATATGTGTTTAAATTTCATGTTACCCACATTCTTCATAAGACAAAAATAAACAAGTTAAAAACTTCTGAGTGGCCGGGGATTTAGCTCAGCAGTTCGGTGGCCTGCCTTGCAAGCTTAAGGACCCGAGTTCAATCCCCAGTACCAAAAAAACAAAACAAAAAAAACAAACAAAAAAACTTCTGCAGTCCCTCACCTCATTTTCCACAATTTTAGCTATTATAATTATCTCTAAATAGCATATATTTAGCTATTTTCACATAATTATATGCTTGTACACTTTAAGGTTGTGATTACAACTGGCCTCAAATCAAGAAGAATGATTATATAAATTCCTTTACTGAACCAACACATCATCATGCAATGTCCTTCAGAAACAGAAGACTGAATAACCAATGGAAACAACATTTTCTCTCACTGAAGTGAGTCCTAGATATTGGGAATAAGGAGAAAGCAGTCCACAGAAGTAGTCCTCTGGCTGTCACCACTAAGTTTTGTTGAAAATAAATGAATACATATACTGGCATGTAAAATCCTATTTCTGGAACAGAAGATACCAACACATCAGAAGATAGCTGTGCATAAACTCTTCATTCTCTGCTGATGACTGAGGCTCAGTTATGACAGACTCCTTGGATCTCACATGTGTCCCACTCAAGTTCTTACCTCTGGCCTCTGTTCAGTGCCTGGAGAGTCTGTCCCACACCTGTCTACTACCACAGATGGATGCTCTCACACACAAAAGCTCAAAGTACACACAATAACTTAATTCATCTTTACCTATAAAGTTTCCAACTCCTTTCTTATATTCTGCCAAGACTTCATGATGTTCTGCTCTGTAGGTAAAATAGAGAAATATGTGACACAATAATGAATCATTCTGCAGATACTACATACAAGTGAAGCCCTTTTCTCCTTACCCAAAGAAGCTCTATGACAGAAAATGTAGTCTTTTAAAACAAAGTACATCATTAGTCAAGAGACCCAACTAACTAGGCCAGCTTCATTAGTCAAAATCAAGGTTTTCAATTTGTAAGTGGTTCTGCAAGCAAAGAAACTGCTTCAGAATATTTGGATTTTTCCCCCTTTTCTTGCCACTTTACAATCAGTTATTAACACAATACTGCAATTATTTCATCAGGTAGCAGGCTCTTTAATTTAGTATAAAGACAGTTTGTATATTACTGAAAATGATGTCTTTATTAGTTCTGCTTTCATAAAGAAGAGGCTGAGTAACTTTGAGGCTGGTGCATGATGACAGCCCCTGAACTCCAAGGTTAGCTCTGATAGAGCATTCCCTGCACTCACACCTCAGGGTGTAGGAGTGGAAAGGTGGTATGGAGATGCAAATTTGGTGGAAAAGTAAAGCAGAGCTAAATTGGTTAGAGACAAAGGACATATAACATCTGATACCTGTCTTACGATTTTATTCTGAAAAATTACACATATGAGCAAAGTAAATCTTCCCTGTAGCACATATAACTAAGAAATCTAAGCTGCTCCCAGAGTCCACGCTTGAATGACTGGGTCTCGTACTTACAGGGATGAGAGCATAAGCTGAGCCATGGCAGGAACCCCATGGATATTATGCAGAGTGTGCTGGGTCAGGTGTGGGGCAGAGCCTGTCTTGGTGTACAGAAGGCAGGCTGGAATGTCCATGGCATGCTCTCCTGTTTTGCCCAGGTTTTGTATTTTCCCGAGACGACAACCATTAACTATCTTGGTAAGAGTCAGCTTCATCCTTAAGGATTCCTCTTGGTCCTGACAAGAAAAGAGCATTAAATTTAGAAGGAGCTTGACAACATCCAAAACTAAGCATTTTACAAAGAAAGAAACCTACAGAAAATTGAATGATAGCATGTTTATTATTGCTTCGTCTACGATGGGGGGGGTATTAATCAGGATTAGGAGAGTAACACGGAGAGATTAAAATAGCTTCCCCAAGACTTCAATTACTTTTATTCATGGAATGTATGTCTGAGCTGATGAAAACTAAACAATTAGAAGTAGGAAAAGAATTCCATGACACCCAGGATAATTCTATGACTTGAAAATATGTATAGAGAAAGGGTCACACTGCTCAGGCCACAATAAGTACTGATCTGAACTATTTTTTGTTTTCTCCAGTTTGGAAGAATATTAAGCAATGTAGCAATTTTTCCTACTACTGTTATTTAGTAAACAGATTTTTCAAATAGCGTTCTGGTACTTAAAAGAAAAACAGAAATTGTCTCCAAGGGGGGGATAATATTCCATTTGTTTTCATACAATCTCCAAACAAAAGTGAGAAACTACAGGAAGCATATGTAAGACTCACAAGCAATTTTTCATTACTTTTGTAATTGGGAAAGGCAAGCCCTTGTCTACAGCAAAAGATATCTTTTCTAACAATATAACAGGGGAAAAAGAAGAGAAAATATTATCAATTATTTGTTGGTTGCTGCTAAGTACTTAGTATTCACTGCGGCAAAATCCTGGATTTCCTACTAAAATGTATTACAGAACTTGTTGAGCAGGCATGGCAGATAATTTGTTAAATGTCACTGGACATATAAACATTTCACAAATGTTTATTATAACAGTTTTTATACTAATTTTTATTATCTCTCCCCCACCAAATTTATGGGTTCATTTCTCCATTTATTAATAAGTGACACAAATGACTGATAACATATTGTGTAAGTACCATATCCTCTGGAATTCTTGCCAAGCCAATTTTTAGTAGTAGATAAATTATCACAGCTATCTGTGATCCAACCTTACAGCCTTCTCAACTTATGCATTACTCTGAAAGCCAATCATTATTTACAAGGCTGCCAAAACAAGCTGTAATTGGGTAGTTTGGATCTGGACTGGCCCCCAAAGGCTTATGTGCTGAAGGTTTGGCCCCTGGTGGTGGCACTTATTGGTAGGTGGTACAAACTTTAAAAGGTGGATACTGGTTGCAGGAAGTAGGTCATTTGGGGTATGCCCTTGGAGAGTATATTGGAACACTGGTCCTTTTCTCCTTCTCTCTTTGTTTCCTGGCTGCCACAAGTTGAGCAGTTTTGCTCTACTATGCACTCCTCACTAAGATGTTATGCCTCACCACAGGCCCAAAGTGATTGGGCTAAGTGAACATGGACTGAAACCCCTGAAACCATGAGGCAAAATAAATCTTTCTCCGTATAAGTTGACTAAATAAGGTATTTTGTCACAGCAATGGAAAAATTCCTAATACATAAGCACTATCATTAGTTAAAGATATTTAAGAAAGCAAATGCTAAGTTTTAGGAGATGTAAATTGTTATATTTAAATAAGAGACCCGTAATAGTAATCAGAATCTTAGACATAAGAATAACTATTTTCTCTATGGTCCAATGACAGACTTCAGGTTTAACAAAAATTATGAAAATTAGTATAAGTGTTTAAGGAAAGTCTAACTATTACATCATTTCAAGTTACTATAAGTGTAGAAACATGAAAATAACTATCATTGGAACCCACGGAAATAGAGACTATTAAGAGAAAAAAGTTATGTTTTAGCAATGAATATATAAAAGCTATTTTTTTAAAAAAACTTGTTTGTATACATTAAAACTCCTAAGAGCTGGGCATGGTGATGCACACCTGTAATCCCAGCATTCAGGAGGCTGAGGCAGGAGGATCACTGAGTTCAAGACCAGCCTGGGACACATAGTGAGTTCCAGGTCAGTCTCAACTACATAGTGAGGGGCCGAGGATTTTGCTCAGTGGTTCCGCTGCCTGCCTTGCAAACACAAGGACCCAATCCCTGGTACCAAAACAAAAAACAAAAAACCAAAAACAAGAAAACCCCTGAAATTAAACTTCAGAGGGATCTTATTAAAAAAAAATCAAGAAAAGAAAATTTATTCCATGAAATTATACAAATATATTTACAAGCTAATGAGAATGTAATTTAGAAAATATAAGAGAAGACTCATAGTCCATATTTAACCTATTACATTCATCTCACATATTAAAAACATACTTTATATTGTCAACCAACAGAATTCTGAAATAATTTAGTAGCAAAATTAGACAGTATTTTGCAATGTAAATAAGCTGCACAAAATTACAGCACAGAAAATCACAAAGATAAGAAATACTCTGAAAAGCTGATGAATCCAGCACCTGTTACTCTGAAGATTGGAACCAACTAATATGCAATAATACACTTTGAAAAAACAAGAACTAATGAAAATTTAAGACTGGGGCTATTACACAATGCAATAACTTAAGTACTTCCTGCCCTCATACATCTGAGAGTGGAAGCAACTATCATAAAAAGTTATTTCAGAAAGGCCTAAAGATTAGAACTTTAGACTCCTCCCTTTACTCCAGAAATTCTGTCTTGTCTAAACTGTTTAGGGTTTGTAAAAGGATTAAATGTACACATAATTTTGTTTTGTTTTGTTTTTGAATTGTCTTGCTAAGTAACCTCTAGAGGGCCTCAGACTCACTATCCTCCTGCCTCAGTCACCCAAGCTCTAGGATTACAGGTGTGCAACACCATGCCTGGCTATAACAAGTTGGCTACCAATTTTTATTATCTCTCCACCACCAAACTTATGGCTTCATTTCTCCAATTTATTAATAAATGACATAAATGACTGACAATCAAGGCTTCTGATGAGTGTGACATAAAAAAGTTTTCTGTGATGAATTCATTCAATTCCAAATGAGAACAGCACACTACAGTGTTCTTGTAGACCTGCGCTTACTATCCCAGGTAAGGTCTGATTCCCATTGGATGTCAGAAATGCTCACTGCAGATTATGCCATTCCTACCTACTGAGTCTTAATCTCATCACTGCCGTTGCCTGCTCTGCCATTTTATAATTAATCTGAGGCTCAGTAAGGTTAATCATAGTCTTAAAGCCATATCCAGCCCATGGTCAGCCTTTTTTTCTTTTCTTTTTTGTGTAAAGAAGAACTGTCTTGGACCACATGTAAAAAATACAATATAGTTAATGTATACAAGTGACAAAACTTCCCTTATCTTTTGCAGTTCTTTTAAATTTGTTTTAAAAGAGAATAATAAAAGGTGGGCTGCAGGTTAGATGTGGCTAGTAGGTCTTCAACAAAAAAGGCCTGTGCTCTTCATATTTTGCCTTTTGAGGAAGAGTAAATCTAACATGCTACAGGACATATTCTGACTTTTTAAAAAGCATCCTACCATGTAGTATGGCTACTCCAAGAAAAGATGATTTTTCAAAACTGTACATGAAATCTGTACATCTTTCTTCCCTCCAAGAACATACTGTGAAAAGTTATATAAAGGGAACAGCACGCTGTTTAACCTGTACCAACAGAATGATACATATGTTCAAAGAATGGCCACCACCTATCCTCAAAGGCCTCACAGGCTTCCACTGCTTGTTGAGTTGGTCACTAGTCTGGGATCTGGTCTGCCTGATCTTGTCCACATACTCCACACAAACCCATCACTTAGGGACAGGTTCATATGACCCACCTCAGAAAATAAACAACAAAATCAGATTATTTACTTAGAACTCCCCCAAAAAGTGTGGGGGGTGGATCAGTCAGTCCATTTTTGCCCTGCTGAACACCATCTGAGCAGCCAAATACAATGTTATGTGTACAGAGAATCAGAAGAAGAGTTATTAACAGTTACACAGATAAAGGCAACTAAAAGGAAATTCACAGTTTTCTTAATATAGCCAAACTCAGTTTCTCTAAGGTTGGACATAGGCAGTCTCCAAGTGTATGGCAGCTAGACTTAGAAGCCCAGTCTCTTGTCTTCCAAGACTCACTTTTCCCTTCGGAACCTCTCAATTCTTTCCTTGCATAAGGAAAGAATAACAGGTTCATCACTTAAGAGAGGAGCCTCAAATGTAATTTACCATCCCCTCAATCCTGAAGGTACCCCTTTCTACACTTTCCTCAACTGAACAAACAGCATCATTCAATCTTAATTCAAGGCCTATCATTATAGGACCTTCATTGCTTAAGAAACCAGGCACCCGTTTTTCGATGTACTGTAGCGAGACTCTTGTCATGGTCCCTTTCCTCCTCACTGGGACAGAATACCCAACACTCACAACCTGAAAGACAAGTATATTTTGGTTCATGACTTAGTATACTGTCAGTTGGCTCCCAGACAGAGACAACATGGTGAAAGTCGTGATGAAAAGAAGCTGCTCCACCCATGGTAGCAAGGAGAGTGAAGGCAGGGAGAGAAAGGGTAGGAGTAGGAGATACACCTTTCTGATCAGCCTCCATTGGCCCCATCTCCTACTAGCACATTCAGCTATGAAAGCCTCGGTGGATGAATTCATAATGGATATTGAGTCCTTGAGATATATAATCACTTTCCAAAAGTACCATTTCTGAACATATGCAGCTTTTGGAAGACATTCAATATCTAAACCATAACAACCCTTGCATGATACAATGCTTTAATCCCAGAAACTTAATACTAATAACTTTAGAGATCAAATCTGAAATCCTGCCGGGCATGGTGACGCATATCTGTAATCCTAGCATTCAGGAGGTTGAGGCAGAAGGATTACTGTGAGTTAGAGAGCAGCCTGGGCTACGTAGTCAGTTCCAGGTCAGTCTCAACTACATAGTGAGACCCTGTCTCAAACAAACAAACAAACAAACAAACAAACAAATCTTAAACCCTTAGCTTAGCATATGAATCCAACAGGTAAGGTGGACAGAAGTACCCACTTGCGTTCTTTCCATAGTATTAGACTTTGATGCTGTGTGCTCATATTTTGCTGGGTGGGACTTCTTCAAAGTTCTACCCTAATCATAGTAATTCAACGTTTTAGTGAAGGAAAAATAATCTAGGAAAAGCAGAAGACTGGGTTTATGAAACGGTATTTTAATAGATAAATAACCACTGGCAGTGATTCTCTATGAATATTAAGAAATCTAAGGACTACATCAGAGCATGTGCTTCAGCTGGAGGTTAATATTTAAAACTATAAAATGGAATTTTATCCAGAGCTAGAAGAGTCAATCCTCCTTTTCCTCATTCACTGTTCAATACAGTATATGGTAGTTTGTTTGTTTTCTTCTTTAGTACTAGTGATTGAATCCAGGGCTTACACATTGAACTACATCCCCAGCCTTTTCAATTTTTGTTCTGAGGTAGGGTCTTGCTAAGGCCCTAAATTTGTTCAGGCTGGGCTTGTAATCCTCTTGGCTCAGCCTTCAAGAACTCTGGGATTATGATTACGTGCCACCATGCACAGGATTAAACATTTTTATAATTGCATTTCCTTTTTATTTTTTCAAATACACGTTTTTATTATGAAGCAATGTATATAAATGTGGATACACAATACATATATATATATATATTCATATTCGCATACATGTTTGGAAGTGTTATAATGAATCCAAGCAAAGTTCAAGAAATAGATATTCCCTGTTCTGGATAAGCAGAAGAAATATTGTCAAAAAGGCCATACTTCCAAAACTGACATACACATAGTTAATACAATTCCAATCAAAATGCCAACAGTATTCCTCACAGAATTCCAGAAAACAATGGCAAAATTCATATGGAGCTAGAAGAAACCCAGAATAGCAAAAATAATTCTAGAAGACAAGAACAAAGCAGGAGGTATCACAATCTCCCATCTCAAGCTATATTACAAAGCTACTGTGATAAAAACAATATGGCACTGGCACAAAAAGACATGAGGATCAATGGAACAAGAAACAACCCCAGGCACATTCAACACTGGAGGAAAGATGTCTGTTTAATAAATGGTGCTGGGAAAATTGGATATTCACACACAGAAGACTGAATCTTGAACCATGTATCTACAATGTACTGAACAAGTCAATATGAATGAAATAAGTCAATATGAATCACAGATATAAATATTAAGAGAAATATTTAATCTGCTAGAAGATAAAATACTATAGATAAAAATTTTGAAGATATAAGCATAGGCAAGGACTCATTGAAAACAACCCCAATGGCACAAAAAATATTACCAGTAATTTACAAATGGGATTACAGCAAATTAAAAAGCTTCTGCACAGCAAAAGAAACAACAAACAAGGTATAGAAACTATCTACAGAATGGGAAAACAATGTTTACAGCTGCAACTTGGACAGAGGACTAATATCTAGAATATATAAAGAACTCATAAAGATTTAGAGCCCCTCAAAAGTAAAAGACTGAATTTTAAAAAATGGGTAACTGAAATGAACAGACATTTCTCAGAAATGGTACAAATGGCCAATAAATGCACAAAAGATGTTCAACATCAATGGAAGAGAAACACAATTAAACCAACACTGAGATTCCATCTTATCCCAGGAAAAATAGCTATCAGTAAGAAATCAAATAACAAATGCCAGGTAACAAGGCTGTAGGAAAAAGGGAACCTGTCTACATTGTTGTTAGGAATGTAATCTAGTACAGCAACTATAGAAATCATTATGGAGATTCTTCAAAAACCTAAAAATAGAAATTCCATTTAACCCAGCTATTCCCCTTCTAGGTATCTTCCCAAAAGAGTTAAAGACATCATATTACCATGATACTTTCATACTTGTGTTTATAACAGCATAACTCATAACAGCTAAATCTTGGAAGCAGCCTTTATGTTCATCAATGGATGAATGGATTAAGAAAATATATTTATACACAATGGAGTACTACTTTGCCATTAAGAACGATAAACTTAAGTCATTTGTAGGACAATGAATGAATCCTGAGACCACAATGTTAAGTGAAATGAATCAGACACACAAGCTTAAATATCTCATGGTTTCTCTTATATAAAAAATCCAAATTATAAATGAAAGCAAAATAAAAGATAGGTAATAGGAGTAGGAAGATAGATCTTTTGCAAATGGGAAGGGATCAAGAAATAGGAGTAGGGCGAGAAACAGGATGAAAATGAGAATTAATATGTGTTATGTACATGCACAAACTCCCCACAAGGAATGTAACCATTATATAATGCAAACATGCATTAATAAAAAATGAAAACTGAAAAAACATATATGTGTGTGTGTATGTGTGTGTGTTTGGTGAAAAAGTAAAGATTGCCCATGCCTCTGGCAAAATTGCACCTGTCCTAACAGCTCTGGTGCCACCCACTCTCTCATCTGTCAAAAAAAGAGGAATTTAAAAATGTTTTTTGAATGGCTTTTCTATATACTGTCATGGAAAAGATGTCTAAATTTTGCTGAGAGGTCTAAACTTTTTGGAAAAAAGCTTATGTGATCACATTTTTTGTATAAATGTAAGTATACATAAGTACTTATATATATATATAAGTACACATCCACATCTCCCCATGTCCTCCACATAGTTTCTACAATAATTATATATAAACAGAAAAAAGTCTGAAGGACTTCTAAGCAATATGGCACACTGAGTTGACTCAGCAATGACACAGAAATGATGGATTCTAAAATTCTAGAAAACAGAAAATGAGAGATACACTACACAAGTCTTACACTATTTGGTAAAGGAAAAATAGATACAGAATAATGTTAAACTTTTTTATGTTTTAAAAGTTTAGAAGTAACCATTACAAAAATTAGTGACAGAATGATTTCCAAACCTGTTAGGAAAAGATTGATAAGAATAAGAAAAATTGATTAATCTAATGAAGACAAGCGAGACCAAATAAATAAAGCACAACAAAAAATGGAAAATACAAATTAAGATGGTAGAAGTCCAAATGTCAGTAATTACAATAAAGTTACACTGAAAAGCATAACAATAGCAGTAACTGACATTTACTAGGTATTTACTATACATCAAGTACTGTTCTTTATATATTAATTCATTAATCCTTACATCAAGTATACAACATATATACTATTATCTGTACTTTATAAATCAGGAAATGAGGGTAATAAAGTCACCAGAGAAAGTGGCAAAACTAGTATTTTAAGTATGAAAGTCAAGCATGGTGTGTTGGTGCACGCCTATAATTCCAGGTCTTGGGCAGCTGAGGCAGGAAGATCACAATGAGTTCAGGCCAGCCTGGGCTACATCCTGAGTTTAAGGCTAGTCTGAATCACACAGAGAGACCCTGTCTCAAAAAATAAATAAATAAATTTAAATAAATAAATAAAGCTAGCTTTAGAGCTGTATGATTAGTCTAATAGGCTGATAGCTTATTGGAAGTCCCATTTTATCCATAAACACATGCAATGTTTTCTTATTAGCTACAATATTAAGATATAATTTTTTGCGGGGGGAAGGCACGCAGCTCAGCGGCACCGCGACTGCCTGTAAGTGCAAGGTCCTGCGTTCAATTTCTGATACAGGGAAAAAGATATAATTTTGTTTACATTTCCAATATTGCTACAGCAGTAATTTTGCACTTCTTTTCCATTCTCCCTCCTTTGCCTCTAATCTATCTTTCCAGACTCCTATAATCCCTCAATCATTTAAACATATATTTATTTACAAGGAGGAAGTTTACTTCTACAAAAATGGAAACTATATCAATTTGTATTTCTCTTAAGAATATACAATGGATATCTATCCCAAAGAAGAGACATGGAGCTTAACTTACCCTCTAAAAAGAACTACTTCGTGATATGGCACAGTTTGAATATAACACAAATTATTTAACCACTCCCTTTCTGGTGGACATTTATCTTAAAGATCAGGTCCCAGCATCGCTGCAACATCTGAGGGCATAGTTTCACTGACCTCGTTTTCCACCAATATCAAGTGAATGTTAACTTGGATTTGCTGGCTTTGCATGGATTTGTCAATGAGAAAAACTGAGTCTGAGAGTAAGTTACTTAAAGCCATACAGCCAACAAGGAGCTGGTCCCAAACACTGGCTCTAAACCTCCACTCTGCTTCAAAAGCCCATATAAACGTAAGTGGATTGTCCCCGACAACATTTACCGCAAGGCTTTTCCTGGGTCTCAGACCTCGCTAAGCACCTAGCTTACTAGAACATCTTGCTTTCCCAAGTATCCTAGTTAATTTAGAAAAGAATCTCCTCTGAGAACTTGATCCAGAGTCTGGTCGAAAGACGGCCCTTTGCTCTCAGAGAGGTCAGAGACGCTCACGTGAAGCACCCAAACTTGAAGAACCCAAGATCCACCAGGAAACTAAAAAAAGAAAAAAAAAAAAAAAAAAAAGGGGATGTGATAAAAGCAGCATGGTACTGGCAAAAAAAAAAAACGAAAGAACAAAGAAAAAAAAAAAAAAAAAAAAAAAAAAAAAAAAAAAGGAGGGAGAGGCATGTAGCAGGTACAATTACAATTCTGTAACACAACCAGGAAGGGCCCGGGGGCGACACGATTCGTTCATACCTAGTAGTCCCATATCAGGGAAAAAGAAGCACTTACCTGCAAACTCCTCAAGTCTTTTGGGCTCTAGAACCCCCAAACTCCTCACAGATCAGAACCACGTGTCCAGCTCACAGAAATTTTTGGTCCTCCCAAACCACCGCCTCCGGAACAGAGCCAATCAGGAAGCTGTGCGTCATCACCAGGCGCCAAAAACTAGTAAAGGTCCTTTTGAGAGCAAATCCCGAGGACCCTGGGTGTTGCCGTGGTAACGGAGCGAACACATTCCAACTGCGTAAAGCTTTCTGGGAGTAGTGGTTCCGCGGCGCCCGACATTTGCTCTTCTTGAGTGGGTGGAGGAACTACAACTCCCAGTACAACACGGAAACAGCGTGGGCAGAAGTGAGGTTGTTGCAGCTTTGACCGCCGTCCGGCCTGGAATTTGGAAAATGCTGCTGGCTCCCCAAGAATGGTCCACCTCAAGGAAGAGCATGGGGCTGAATCGCTGGAAATGGTTCACGAGGAAGCCGAATCCCAAGGTGATCCGTATCGGGAGCTTGAGAGGGCAGGGATAGGCCCAAGACTCTGCCAAGTCCCGAATCCAGCCGCTTCCCTCCGGTGTTTCCTCCCTCTTCCCGCGAGGGAACCCTTACCAGACCTTGTCGGCACCAGGTCTAACATTGCCCTAAGTGAAGTGGTTCTAGGAGCTGCAGGGTCAGTGTATCTCAGGCTTTGGTAGGCAGCATCATGGAAGAACTGTTTCCACCTAACGCTTTCTCTAAAACCTGAGAGCTCTGCTAATGCCCATCTGGGTGAAGGGAATTCGTGCGCTTAGCCCTCGCCCACTCCTGCCACCAATTTTGGAAAACATCCTGCGTATTTCATTTTCTGTTGGTAAATCTGGAGCGACTGATTTTTATTGAAAAGGAGAGTCATCGCGTTGAGTGCTGTTTATATCCCTTCCCTTCCGATTTTACATAAACTAAATAAACTCAGTAATCCAAGTGTTTATTAAATTTATCAGCATTTGAATTTCTAAATTCAGCCATCATTAAAGGAGAAGGGTGTAAGGGCGGGTAATAGAGGGCATGAATGTGATCATGATACATCATATACATTGAAATTCTCCTAAAAACGTGATGGGGGAGCGGGTAGAAAGGCGATGGGTGATTAACGTAAGTTATGTGTACCCCCCCCAAAAAATCCTCTATCTGTTACATCTTTTAATGCACCAACTCCTGTTGATATGAAAAAACGATCACCCTATTTTCAACTTGAAACATATACAGCCATCCAGACTACCTTTCTAACGGTCACAAAAATAAATGCTGTAGTTGTAAATGAAAGCACTAGCACAGAGAGGTTTCTTAGCTTAGAGCTTTAGAGCAGTTTCATCAATTATTTTCACCTTTTAGTTACACTTTGCTTTTAAAAAATCCTGTAGATGAGTGGCCTTTGCGAGGTCCCTGTGCAATTGTTTTCATGGTTTATTCTAAAATATACCAACTACATGCACCAGACATATTCCACTTAGTGAATATCTTGCTTCAGATACTAAAGGGCTTACCCTGGGGACATTAAAGAAACTTGGAAACTGAGGCTACTCCTATTCTAATGGATCAGCTGCATAATAGACTGGATCCAAAATAGTTTATGAACACAGATGTGGAGAAGAACAGTGAAAAATTGGGACACTTTCTTAGGACTCCAAAAGGAGTGACTTTTGCTGATAATGCTCCTTATTACTGATAGAGAATAAAAAAAAGTTAAAAGGCACGCTCTTTGAAGTTCAGTTATGTTTTGATAGAATCAGCTCCTTCTTGCAGTGAAAAAGTTACTCAGTAGTACAGCTTCATTAATTAGTTAATTTGTGAGATGCTTTAAAGTGAAGTGTTAGATAAGGGAAAGCACCTCAATGTCTTAGTATGCTAGTGTAGATAACTCCTTATTTTTAAAACTCAGCTGAATTTTTAGCAAAGCAAATGACTTTTATTATTTTGGGGGGGGTATCGGGAATCAAACTTGGGACCTTGTGCTTATGAGGCAGGTGTGGTGCCACTGAGCTAAATCCTCTGCCTGAATGCCTCCTTTTAAAAACTTCTTTTTAGAGGAATTCTGCAAGCTTCTGGGAGTTAACAATAAAGAAAGAAGGTTCTTTCATGGTCTTATTTCTAATTTTAGATTAATATCTGATCAGGGTAGAAAATAATTTGTTTTCTGCTTGGTAGAGCAGTAGAAGTCAAGTAACTTCCCAACCTCTCTATTCTAGTTGATCAAACGTATTACTGATATGGGAAAGATAAAAAAGCATCTGGATACAGGCAGCATACCCTTCCCTAAGCAGAAAATCACTTGGATAGTCTGGTTAATCAGTCAGTGATTATTTGAGTTCTTATGAAGAATATTATACCCTGGATTTCTGTATCTTATAACAATGGGAGCTTTAAAAAATACTTATGTCTGGGCCCCATCCCAAAGTAGTAAATCAGAATGTCAAGTTAGGCTTAGATAAGAAATAATGACCCAGAGACACCTTCAGACCTCTTCCTTGTACTGTTATTTTTTGTTCTTTTATTGGTAAACAGTACTGAACTTTCCAATGAACATATTGAGCACTAAAAGGATACTTTCACATGATTTCATCAGAAGGCTAGATTAAGTGGCTAAATTGATAGAGATATTGCTATTATTAATATTCCTTATATATTTTCTACAGCCTACTTTTGATCCAGACAATGTGGAATACTGGCTTAAGGTAAGGATATTTCAAAATTAGGTTAGAAAGAAAATTCGGAGTCAGGCATAATCAGGTGGTAAAGAAATGCTAATAGATCTCCAATCTGCACTTATTTTGCTGTTTTTATTCCCATATTATCATATATGTGGCCTCAATTTGTGCTTCTTTCTCGTTTTTTGTTATTCTGTTGTTTCTCATGAAAGCATTTAAGTGTGAATGATGAGAAAACAGGTATCCTGTGAAGATGAAAGGAGCAAGAGAAGCCTTCCTTGGATGGTGAAAGACTATACTATAGTTATACTGATGGAAGGGATCAGTGGGTAGAAGCTACATATGCATCACAAGAATTTTTTAATACTTAGAGCAGTCAAGAAATGGGGTTAGCATCTTCGTAAAGGGATGTTTTCTGTCACTGAAGATATTCTGGTGTACTGTAAAAGAACATTTAATTTTAGTCTAATGAAGAATGTGTTTGAACATTTGGTGAGAGGGGTGGGGTTAGATTACTTCTGAGATCTCTTCCAGTCCTTAGACATATGTTTCTGAGCCCAGATACCATAGATTGAAAGTACCTTTAAATCTCTCCAGGGCCATGCCTGGAGTGTCAGTTTAGCAGCTTATTATGATCAATTCAGATGTGCACTATATGGTTCAAAATCACATAGCATTTTTTCTGGGAAAAATATCCTCTGCGAGGTAGTACTTTGAAGTTACTACTTACCTAAGTTGACATGCATCATGAGCATGAAGCCAGGTCAGTTGGTATTTATTAAGTGCCTAGTAAGTTACTAGCCAACTATGTTGAGCACTTGAACCAATATAGGACACAGGGCAAGTGCGGTTCTTGCCCACCCAGAATTTATGAGTTTATGAACATAAACAACTTGCCAAAAGTCGATGGGAGAATTAAAGACGTAACAGAAGCATGTAGTGGGAGACATTAATCTAGTTGAGGCAAGAGAGGCTTCCTGCTTATGATTCAGGAGACAAGCATGATGAAGGCGGGCCTCTGAAACAACCATTCAGCATGCAGTAAGCCTAGCTTGCTTGTGGTGTTAAGAGTCCCTGTGCCAGGTCCCTGCTGCACTTTCTGACATAGCTAGTTACTGTCTCGTCTACAGTAATCTTTTACTTAGTATTTAAGCAAAAAGGGAAGGCAAAATTCTTCTGTTTTTTATTCACATACCATTTTCCTGTTTCATACAGTTGAGAGCCAATTTGACTCCGATTTTTATCATTTCCTCTGAAATTCCTGAAGTAACTCTCCACTATTCCCTCAAATCTCTCGTCTCAAAAAAAAAAAAAAAAATCAGGAAGTCTTTTATTTGACTGTTTTATCCATTTTGATTGTTGAATGACTTTATTTTCCTAGCTAAAGTCTTCAGATGTATAGTCTGGGTTCCTTACCTTTGTATTTTAATTATTCTCCCATGTACACAGTTATTTTCCTTCAGTTTGTATTTCTTTGTTCAGTTTCTATTCCACAGAAACTATTACAATAAATGTCTTCCTGACTAAATCCAGCTGTTTTTAAATAGTTCTCACCGGGGATTTAGCTCAGCAGTTCGGTGGCCTGCCTTGCAAGCACAAGGACCCGAGTTCAATCCCCGGTACCAAAAAAAAAAAAAAAGTTCTCAAACTTCTTCAACTTACATTTGATATTTGTATTTCTTTTTCTGAGAGGTGTCTATACATTTCAATTGCTCATTTTTTATTTGGTCTTTTACTCCAGGGGAGGTCTATTTTTTTTGAGTTCCCTATGTATTCTGGATGTTAGTCCTCTGAGGTGCAGCTGGCAAAATATTTTACTATTCTGTAGGATGTCTCTTCACTCTGTTAGTTATTTCCTTTGCTGTGTAGAAGCTGTCACATCTGGGGGTTATGAAACGCACCATATGACCACAGCCAACCAGGAATTACAAACTTCTATTAGTAAAGAATAAAAGTATAAAGTTTAGAAGGTAGAACATAAGCACTTTATTTGAAAGAAGGAAGAGAAGCAGGGGACAGACAGCTACCTTATAAGAAAGAAGGGGATCTGAACCTGGATGCATGTGGGCCCTTCTTTTGGGCTGTTTTTATCAGGAGTTAAGGGCCCTTCCCACTGCCTGGAATTTGTCATAATCTCATTCATTTCCTGGGCTGTCATAGATGGATCCCAGGCCCCAAAATCCCTAACTTCTGAGCCATCACCTTCGTGCACATTTTTAAGTGAGCTTTCAGAGTCTTATTTTAAAATATATGAATGTATTAAAAAGGACTTAGCAGTTAAGGGGGCTGGTGTTCTAATACAGTGGCCCTAGAGTGGAATATACTTTTGCATGTGTATTACATACTAAATAGGACCTCTCTTTTAAGTAGCTGCCCCTTGACTCTTGCATTTTATTGGAGGTAGGTGAGAGGCAATTGTCTTGGTTTTGAGTGCCTGGCTTCCTTGTGCTGTATCTATCTGCCTCTCCTTGTCTTGGTAATTGCTTTCTCCAGTGAAGCTTTAACCCTTTTTGGTTAGGGTTAGCCAGAAAGCCTAATGAGGTCTTTCAGTATTTTATAGCCCCTTTCCCCCTAATCAAAGCTTTTTAATTTCATGTAATTAAATTGACTATTGGTTAGTTCTTTGTGATTATCTATTGTGTAACTGGGGTTCTGTTCAGAAAGTCTTTACCTATGCCTAAGTCTCCAAGATGTCTACCTATTTCATCTTTTAGCAGGTTGTTTCTGTTTTAATATCTAGGTATTTTATTCATTTTTATTTTCTTTTAGTTCATAATGAGAGATAAGGGTCTAGATTCAATCTTCTGCAAATGGGTAGTCCGATTTCCCAGCACTATTTGTTGAAGAGGCTGTCTTTCTCCAGCATATGTTTTTTGCCCCTTTGTCAAAGGTAAAATAGCTGAATGTGCCTGGGTTTTTTTCTTTCATCCTTTTGTGGCCCATTGATCCACTTGTCTGTTTTTGTGCCAGTACCGTACTGTTTTTATCACAGTAGCTTTGTCATATACCTTGAGATCTGAGATTGTGATGTCTCCTGCTTTGCTCTTTTCCCAGAATTGCTTTTGCTATTCTGGGTCTCTTTTTGGCTCTCTATGAATTTTAGGATTGTTTTTTCTGGTTCTGTGAAGAATGTTGTGGGTATATTGATTGGGATTTCATTCAATTTATAAATCAGTTTTAGTAATATGGCCATTTTGACAATATTAGTTCTGCCTAACCAGGAACAGGGATGGCTTTCCAATTTCTGGTGTTTTCTTTGATCTTCTTTCTCAGAGTAGTATAGGTTTTGTTGTAGAGGTTTTTCACTTAAAAAGTTAATGTCTAAGTATTTAATTTTCTTGAATTTATTGTGAATAGTATTATTTTCCTGTTTTTTTTCTTAAGGTAGTCATTGTTGGTGTGCAGAAATGCTTTTAATTTTTATGTGTTGATTTTGTATCATGCTACATTACTGATTTTATTAGTTCTAAGAGTCTTTCGGTGAAATTTTTTGGGCCTTTTATGTATAGGATCATGTTGTCTCTGAATAAAGATAGTTTAACCTCTTACTTTTTTCTGTGTGTCCCCCTTTTTCTCTTTCTCTTCTTGCCTGATACCACTGACTAAAGTTTCTAGTACTCTGTTGAACAAGAATGATGGCAGTGGACAACCGTATCTTGTTCCTGGTTTTAGAGGGGAAGTTTTCATTTCTTCTCAATTTAGTATGATGTTAGCAGTAGGTTTGTCATAAATGGCTTTTATCAGGTTGAGATAAGGTCCTTCTGTTCCTATTTTCTTCAGGGTTTTTATCATAAATGGATGTGGGAATTTGATCAAAGGCATATCTGCATTTAATAAGATGATAATATGGTTTTTGTTCTTTCTGTTTATGTGCTGTATTACGTTTACTGATTTGCATATGTTGAACCATCCTTGCATCCTGGGACAACTTGTATATGATCCTTTTGATGATATGTTGTATTCTTTTTACCAGTATATTTTTAAAATTTTTTGTATCTCTGTTCATTTAAGAGATTGACCTATAATTTTATTTTGGTAAGTCCTGGTCTATTTTTGGCATCAGTATAATGATAACTTCCAGAAATTATTTTGGGAGTGTTCTTTCCCTTTTGATTTTGCTAAAGTTTAAAGAGATGTTAGATTGGAAAGGTATGGTTCAATTCTGATAGTTTTTGTTGATTTTTTTGTCTAGCTCATCTATTTGTGAAAATGGTGTGTTGAGGTCCCCCACTATGACTGTATTGATGTTTATCTGGTCTCTTTTGTCCAGCACTATTTGTTTTATGAAATGGGATCTAGCAGTGTTCAGTACATATATATTTATCATTTTTACCTCTTCCTTTTGATTTGTTCCCTTTTTTAGTATACAATGACCTTTGTCAACTTTGATCATTTTTGGCTTGAAGTCTACTTTGTCTGAAAATGGGATAGCTATTCCTGCTTGTTTTGGGGCTCTGTTGCATGGAATTTTTTTTTATTCTTTGATTTTTAATCTGGGCACTTCTTTTAACTGTTATGTGTGTTTCTTGTATGCAGCATATCATTGAGGGTTTTTAAAAAATCCACTCTGATGATATGGCTTTCATTTTAATGGGTTCCCTCATTCTGCAGTGAGAGGCTGTTCCAGAAAACCTATCAGAAAATTATTGTGACTTGGACTGAAATGATAACAGTGGAGGTGATGAGAAGGAGTCAGATTCTGAATACATTTTTAAAACAGAGTGAAGAGGACTCACATTGTGTGGAGAAGGGGATAGGGATTAGATTAAGATTCTAAAGCTTTCCTCCTGAAGAACTGAAAGAAAGGAGTTATCACTGCCTAAGTTGGAAGACTATGAGGATAGAAAACATAGGGGAAAGCAGGGTTTTTGTTTTGTTTTGTTGTTTGGTTTTTTGGAAAGCAGGTTTGTGAGGAGAGCACAAATCAGAGGTTTAGATGTAAAATATTATTTTCTACTGTGCAGATCACTCAGAATTTCAGGGTAGTTTGTCCACCTCTCACATTTGCTTTCCAAATCCCATAAATTTAGTCAAAATTTTACTAAACTCTTGCTGTTGAGTTAAACATTGTAAGTGATTTCAGATCAGTGACTATTTGATTCTATTTTTCTGAACTTATAGTTTGTCTAATATATAATTGGAAGTTCCTTTCAAGAGTAATAATAGGAGAAAACTGTAATTACTCAGGCTCTGATTCATATGTTCTAGTAGCATGGAAGTTAATAAAATTCAGTTTTTTTGTTTAAAATAAAATATCCAGGTCTCAGGACCCCAATTACTAATGTATTGAATAAAAGTTATCTAAAGCTTAAGTAACCTTTATATACACATTGTGAACACCTGTTAGATTGTGATAACATATACTAATTTATGCTATATGTGAAACTAAAAAATTATTTGCTATGGATGTTTAAATCTCACAGTTCCATCAGAAATGGAAAAGTGAGACAATCTTAGTGGCTGTAGTTGGTAGAAAATTAGATTCCTAGGAAAGAAATTTTCTAACCCTCAACAAGGTTGCTGTTGTCTTAATGGATTTTTTTCTGTTGTACTGAAGAGAGTGGACATAGCCTCAGAATTTGCAGTTTCCAACACATTTTTTGCCAGAAATTCAGATTTACCTGGAAGGGTTTGGGGCCAAATGATAGATTTGGAAACATCCAAGCAAATAGAGGATCACGATGATGTCTACACAGAAGGTAAGAGAATGCATTAGCTATGATGTAAAGTTCGTGCATTTCAAAGTACAGAATGGAAGCTTTTCTTAGTCTTGCTCTTAATTTTTGTTTCTACTGTTCTGAAGGTAATTTGCTCTGGAGTTAACTCCATTATTACATGTAAGGGCATATTTCAAGCCTGTTTTGTTTCCTAAGCATAATTATACACATCCTTCTACCTCACTGTTGGACATTTGTCCCCCCTCACCCCTCTTCAGCCACACTGGCTTCATTGCTATTTCTCCAAAACTCTGAGCACTCCTACTGTAAGGCCTTTCTTTGCACATGCTTTCCCGCTGCATGGTATAATATCCCTTCTATATGTATATGACTCCTTCCCTCCCTTCCTTTCTTTGGTCAGATTTATTTTCAGTGAGGCACTTTTTGACTTCTAGTTTGAAACTACAATACCCATGTTCCATTTCTGCATTCCATTTCTCCTTTCCCTGCTTTGTTTTTCTCATTTATTTTTTTTCCTCTTTCCCAGCTAGAATGTGAGCTTCAAGTTTATTTTTCCAGTTTTATTCCTTGCTATATTCCCTTGTATTTGAATATTCCTTAATACATGATAGATGTTCAAGTAATATTTATTGAAAAAAATGAAGATAGTGACTAAGGAAATTGAAATATTTAAAAGATGTTTTTGTTTTGTTGTAGCTCAGGAGCTAGTCAATGACTGGTTAGGCACCAAACTTAAGCAAGAATTAGCAAGCGATGAAGAAGAGGGTGCTGAAAACACTGTGTCAAGTGTTGCTTCTAGGTCAGAAGCCAAGGACCATTGGAAATATTACAGGTTTGATGGTAAGACCTTACGTGATTGTTCAAAGCTTATCATCTAAATCATGAGTCTAATGTTTTAAAAATTCTTTTGAATATAAATGATATATTATTTGACATTTCTGTGTTTTCTTTAGTTTTATCATTGCCTTTATTTAGTTTTTTGTGATTGAATATAATTCCTTACACTGTATCCTTGACAAATTTATCCTTGACAGTGTTTTTCAAATCAAGATATTCCAGTATTTATAATTTTGCTTATGGTAATAATGGCAATTAAAAATACCTCTTGCCCCTGTATCATTGAATGACTTTAATATAGACAACATTTAAACATTACTATATCATCACTTTATATTTTTAAATGATTCATATCCTTATTATTTATAAGGGAGGTTATTACTTTTCTTGTTTTTCCTATACTTTTGTGCAAAGCAAGGGTCAGATAAGTTAAGCGGCTAACTTGTGAGGGCTCTGCACTCAAGGATGTGAAGTTTTTTTTCTCTGAGTGTCACTCTAGGATGGTGATAGTGGGGGCAGCTCCCAGGCATGACTCAGATATTCTTTATGAAGACACCTGGTAGCATTCCCCTCATGCAAGATACAGAATCTTCAGCTAGGGATTCACATAGTCATAAGCTCTGAAATTTCAGAAGAATCCTTTAAGATTGCATAGTCTAGGGCTGGGGATTTAACTCAATGGTTCCAGCACCTGCCTTGCAAGCACAAGGACCTGAGTTCGATCCCCAGTACAAAAAAAAAAGATTGCATAGTCTAATACACTTTCCTCACCTACCCAGATAGACACTTATCTACATTATGAAGCTCTAATCCTCACAGAATTTTCCCTCAGAAGAATTAGGATTTTGATTTCAGTAGCTTTTTATCCTTTAGTGCAACAGAGAATGTGACCTCTCTTTCAAGAGCATTCTTTTTACTTTGGGGAAGTTATGATCCTACCTAACCACTCATATTCTTCATTGTTCCCAGAGTAATAGTACCAGTACTATCAAAAATTCTTTATGCCATATGATTTATAGATCTTATCATCCTAGTTGCTGCCTTCTGGACATTTGTTTAGTTTACTAGTGCTGTTAAAATGGAATGTTTCAATATTTCATATTGTTCTGAAGCAAACCTACAGAATATAGTGATGCCGTTACTGCCTTTGATAGAATGCTAATAAGTACATCTACCTATATCCCCTTATTTGGATTGGTGGGTATCATATCAAGCCTCAGTCATCTTATTCTGGTAGAAGTGTCAAAATATTGAACAAAATACTTTGTTAAAAATGATGTTAAAAAAAACATGTAATTATATAAGTATATATAAGAAACAAGCATTTTACAATATCATCTACATATGAAAAATACTTCTCAAGAATTCTTTGATAATAAGATATATACAAAACAAATGTCAAAATGACAAATGTAAACCTAGTTTATCAGAAATACATTAAATGTAAATGGATGTAAATGGATTTAAACAGTCCAGTTCAAAGGCAGAGATTGGCAGAATGGATTAAATATGTGACATAACTATATGTTATAGGAAAGAGACACATTAGACTCAAGATACAAATAAGTTGAAAATTGAAAAATATAAGTTGGGTATATTGGTGCATGCTTATAATCCCAGCGCAAGCAGAGCCAGGAAGATTGCAGCAAGTTCAAGGCCAGTCTGCACTACCTAGTGAGACCCTGTCTCAAAAAGAAAAAAAAAAAAAGAAAAAAGTAAAAGGATGGAAAAAAGATACACTGTGCAAATATTAACCAAAACAGAATGGCTGTGCTAATATTAGAAAAAAGTAGACTGAAATGCAAGAAATTGTTGGTACAGATGAAAAAATACATTTTATAATATCAAAGAGGCTAATCCATCAAGAAAACAGCAATTAAACATTATATAATAGGAAGCAATTATGTAAGAAATAACCAAAGTTAGAATTGATTTTGACCAATAGAGTGTTAAATGAAGCTTTGTTATTGGTTTGAATATGATATTTCCTATTAGAAATATATAGATTGCATTTGCTTGAATTTAGTTTTTGAAATGTGATATTAATATATTATCACTATATATTAACATCCAAAAATAGATGAAGCAAAAACTGACAAAAATTGAGGGAAGAAATACACAGTTGAACATCAGTAAATGGAGACTTCATTACCACACTGTCAATAATATATAGACAACTAAAAAATATCAGCAAGGAAGATGTTCAGTATTATTAGTCATTAGGGACATGTAAACTAAGACTGTTGTGAGTTACCACTACAGTATCTACTTAAATAGCTTGATGTTAAAGGACTGGCCATGCCAAGTATTGATAAGAAAGTTGAGGAACTGGAACATCTACATTGCTAGTCCAAAAATGTAAAATTGTATAACCACTTTAGACAACAGTTTAATGGTTTCTCTAAAAAATTAAGCATTAAATTATATAAGTATCATATAATCTAACCATTGAACTTCAAGGTATTTTCTCAGCAGGAAATCTATGTTCTATGTGTACACAGATGTTATGACAATCTTATTTGTAATATCCCAAATCTGAAATCAACCCAACTGTCCATCAGCATATGAATAAATAACCAAATTAGGGTACAGTCATACAAAGGAATACTGTGCTACTCAGAAATAAAAACCAATAAATTACCAATGCCCACAAGTGGATAGATCTCAGAATGATTGTGCTGAGTAAAAGAAGCTAGACCAAAAAAGAGTACACAGTGTATGGTTTAATCTATATAAAGTTCTAGATGATGCAAACTAATCTATTATGCCAGAAAACTATTCTGTGCTTTCCTGAAGCAGTACATAGGGTATGGGGAAGAGCCAGAGGAAGAGAACACACATCAACATGAGGTCACTTTTGGGGTTGATATATATGTTCATTGTCTTGATTGTAGTGGTGGTTTTACTAACATTTGTACATGTCAAAATTATTACAGACTTTAAACATTTGTAATTTATTTTATATCCCTTATACAGTAAGGCTTTATTAGAGTTCTCAAGTTTGTTTTGGTTGAAGTAATATCTTTTAGATTTGGCTGTGAAGAAGTTCTTAAGAGACATACGTGAGAGCAGTTCTGGATGAGTAGAGCTTTTTCCTCTTAGCTGAAGTTAATTGAGGGCTGTGTTCCTCCAACTGGCATTATCATTTGCTATTTATCCAACATGGCTTTTTTTTTAACTGTTCCTTGTATAAACGTGAGTATTATACTACAATTAATTTTTTAATTTCCCTTTTGCTTTCGGTTTCTCCCAGATTTATGTGGCTGTTTGGAGGAAGAAGAGGAAAGTACCACTGTTCAAAAATTTATAGACCATCTGCTCCAAAAAGAAGTGGTGGATTCTGGGATGTTGGAAGATCTTGGAATGAAGGAAAACCAAGACAAGAAGCAGCAGAAGGATTCTCGTCTTACCATGGAGATGAGACATAAGCAGGTGGGAGGGAAAAACAAAATTAAAATGGATAACAGGAAGCAGTCTTTGTGTAACACATTTAATAAGCTTAAATAAAGACTTAGGCTTTATTATAAAAAAGGGTGCCATCTGTGATTTGGTTAGAAAGATTAAAAATAAAATATAAGAACTTCAGAGAAAAATAATTCTCATAAACTGAGGATAGGAAACTATTTAAGAAATAACCAAAAGTAGAATAATTGATTTTGACCAATAGGGTGTTAAATGAAACTTTATTAGTTTGAATGTGATACTTCCTGTTAGAAATATGTAGGTTGCATTTGCTTGAATTTGGTTTTTGAAATGTGACGTTAATATATTATCATGAATATTCCGGTGAATATTATAAGGATAATTCTTTTCTAGACAACTGAAATTCGCTCAGTTTCTGATTATAATTTGAAAAGGAAGACAGATCTGAATTAAATCCAGTTCAGCTGTTTTGAATTAGAAAGGCATGTGGGAACTTTTCTTTCTCCAAAGGGAATAGTAGGTAATAGGGAAAAGACTATCTTAACACTTTTTTGCAGGAGCTTCAGGAAATGACCCAGTCTTTGGCATTTGTCCAGGACTGAGGCTGAACTGGAATTAATATCTATACATACGTGTGTGCTATCTTCTTATAATTCTGAATTTCTAGTTGCCGTGTTTAAAAATTGTAACCATTAAGGTATGCCTAATCAGTGCTGGGATGTTAGAGACCTGGGGCAGAAGTACGAACCTCATTTGGTCAAAAGGGAGGAGAGGAGGTTCAATGAGATACATGGTAATTGTCTAAGTATCTTATCAGACCTAGAGAGTAAAATAAGGGTAAAGTTAAGTGAAACAGGAGTAAAAAAACCATACCTTAATTCATTGGTAGTGCAGCCTTTAAAGGATTAACAAGTCTGGAAGAAAACTTGAATATGCTTATTTAGAAATATCGGTGAAGTAGTTCATGTTTTTGATTGCCAAATGTAGTCCAGAATCACTAACATATTTAAATAATACTAGAAATGAATAAAAAGTTGTAGCGTTCCTTGAGGCAACAAATCAGTGTTCTATCCTTCACAACATAGCCCCCCCCCAAAAAAAATCCCTATTCTTCTTAAGTTCCAATTAGAATGCAGACAGCCTAAGTAAAAAACAGTTCTTGGACACCTTGGACAATCTTACAGATGGGAAATCATTTCTAAATAAGAATCCAGAACTTGGGATCTGGCCTACTAGACTCAACTTTTCCATGATACAGATCCTTCTCAGACTTGTTTCTTCATCTGACTTCGTGTAAAACTTCTTACTGGCTTCACCTGTGAACAGATGCTCTCCCACTATTCTAATAAACAGCAGCATTCTAGGCCACCATATTTTAAAGTGGTTGTATTCTAAATTTCAAACTGTGTTATAAAGTTTTGCTTCTCCTTTCTACTTGAAAGACTGCCTTTCACTCTCTATTCTTTCTAAGGTTAAAGAAAATCGCATAAGACGTGAGAAGGAACTGCAGTGCCAGAGGATGGAAAAGGCCTTGAAAAAATCAGCTTTCTTGGAGGCTCAGTATCTGGTTCAAGAAGAGAAGAAAAGGAAGGCTCTGGAGGCCAAGAAAGAGAAAGAGGAGATTCAAAGGGAGATGGTAAAGCTGCGAAGGGAAATACTGGAGAGGAGGCACACTGTGGAAGAAGCGTGGAAGATGTAAGCCAGCATAGGCAGGGCAGGGTTTGAACAGTCATTTTGGAAGTGCACTAAAGTTGGTAAAATGTACAAACATCGCGGTGACAAAACACAAAAGAGAAATCATCTGATGCTCTACTAACTTAACAAATTAATGTTACTTTTTATGTTCCCTCCTTGTATTATCCCCTTTACGTACTTAATTACAACCATAAAGTATATTTGAGTTGCTATTCTGCCGAAATTAGTACGTTGCCTGGATTGCAGAGGTCTGCTACTCCATTGAGTTTCTATACCATCATTTAAGTAATGACTTCCAGTCCATGTTGCCAAGCATTTTGGCGACTAGGTTTTTCGGCAATATTTCTGTGAGCATCCTTAAGCCTATAGCTTTTTTATTCTTTTGAATTACATTCTTAGGATAAATTTTTAGAATTATAATTTCTGAGTTAAATAGTGTAGCTCTTTTTTGTGACTCTTGAAACACTGCCAAATTGCTTTCAAAATAGGCTGTACTGTACTTACTTACTGCGCTGCTGGCAGTGGGCCAGTTTCCCACACACTGCCCATTACTGGAGATTATATCACTTTCAGTATTTTCACACTTTTAATAGGCATTATATTGATTATTTTGCATTTCTTTTGTTGCCGAATATCTTTAAAGTTGAACGTGTTTTTTATGCCTTTCCTTATACAGTCCAGTAATTGTACCTTGTCCTGCTGTGAATTGTTAGTGCTTTATTTTCCGATAATCATAGAGCAGCAAGTCACTGTTGCTTTTTTGCCACTGACAAAGGAAAAATATCTGACATAAATGGAAAATGAAAATAGTCTTCACAGGATGTAGTACTATTATCCATCCTTATGCAGAAAATGAGCTTCGTAAGTGAAATAACTAATGTATTTATTCCAAGAAATGGCACTGATGCATGAACTGCAAAAATCTTGGAACAACTCTGCTAAAGTGTCTGAAAATACTCAGACTGAGAGGTCAGAAAGAGCTATTAGATAACCCTTCCATCCCCATCAGCCTACACAGCCTTTCCCCCCTGTGTTCTTGATTGCTCTCATTTTACCCAATTTAAAACAGCTCAGCAGTGGACATGTGCTTCACTCCTTCAAGTGCCAGACTCGGGCCTCCTCCAGATGCTGTTCCTTTCAGAAAGCAATCACTAATGTTTTAGTGAATTCTTTTCTAGGGTCAACCTTGCTTTTCAGATTGCTCCCAAGTCCTGGAAAAACTAGGCTGACCTAAAATAAATTGTGAAAACAAGTAACAGTTGATGGTAGCAAGATGCTCTGTTCACAGTGGGTACTCAACTGACCAGTCATTTCTTATCGCAGTTGAAATCTTACTCATAGTCACAGTGTAACAGATAATAGGCTCTGCTTCTAGGCAGATTAACTAATTTAAACTTTCCAAATAGCCATTTGACAATAAACAACAAACAAAAGCCCATAAAAGGTATTATCCCTTGACCTGAGAATTCTGGTTGTCAGAAAATAGCCCTAAGAAAATGATCAGAAAAATCTAGACAAAGATTTTTGTACAAAGATAATTAAAATAAAACATAATAGACCTTGCTATGAAATTAGTAATTTGAAAGTCAATAAAATTCTATTGTTGATAGGGCTTTATGATTTCTAACCTTTCTGAACCTCCTGTATTGCATAATTTTAAAGTATTTTCTTCAAATACTTATTAATTACAAAGGGAAAAAAATCAGAGGACTTGCCTTAACATGGTGAAAAAGGTCAATATCACCAGTAATAAGATAACATTGTGTGCCCTCCATGCCATATATGAGAATGAATGAGAGAATAACTGTAACCAGCCATCCCACTCAGTTTAAGTTTTCTCAGCTATAAAGTGAAGTCTCAGAAAGACTGGGTGACTTGGCTGAGTTTTCACAGCTGGTTTGTGGCCAGAAAATGAATCTTGATTCCTGACGAGGTGCTATTATTACCACATCATTAATAGTACAGTAAGTCCCTGACTCACAAATGAGTTGCATTCTAGGAGAATGTTCATAAATTAGATTCATTCATAAGTCCGAAAAGTGAGAAGTGAGTCTTATACACCTTGTATGCAATGTAAAGCATTAAAAAACCAAGCACACATGAAAATACAGTAAGTCCCCAAATGTACCATACTACTGTACATTATCACACTGTACAATAAACACACAGCAGCACGATTTTGGCAACATCCTGCCAACATGTGAGCTACTGCTGTGACTTGTTAGTATCTATGAATGTTCTTAAGGCAAGGTTGGTTGATAGCTATGAAAGTTCCAACTCAAATATACCTAAGTCGGGGACTTACTGTATTACTTCATACACATAGCTATGTAGTTAAACTTAATGAGGCAGCAGCTGTGAGCCTGCTTGAATTGGTGAGTGAGAGTGATGGCCTTGGCAAGGGAGAATAGATAGTGGGACGAGAAAGAGGATGGCCAGAAAAATGAGCAGCAAAATGACTAAGAGATTCTGATTACTTGCCTTAAGTCTTTTCTTGGTCGTAAATTCTTATTTGTTCTCTTTTGGTTACTTTAGCTTTACTCTGGATTCCATTCTCTCCTTCATAGCATTTGATTTTATTTTTCTTTCTAGAAACTTTGTGGTAATCCCACTCCTTTCTCACTTGAGGATCCTTTTTACTTCCTAGTAAGAAGAGAGAAAATTTATATCTACTTTAGAGAATACTTAATAGTTGTTAATTGTCAAATTTTAATCAAAGTGTAGTTCAATGTTAAATTTAAAAATGCTTTACTGAGGGCCAGGGATTTAACTTAGTGGGTATGCCACCTACCTCACAAGCGCAAGGTCCCAAGTTCAATCCCCAGTACTAGAAAAAAAAACTGCTTTACTGAAATACCTGTAGGACTTTCTATTTGTCAAAATATTTTATAACAATTTTATTTTACATAATCTATCTTTTTAAAGGAATTAGCTAGGTTTCCTCCCTCCCAAAAAACATATAGCTTTAGAGGCAGATGTAAATATGTGTCTTTTGAAGGAAAAATTCAGTGTTCATTCCACTACAGAAGGTTGTAATTACTCATTATTAAATCTATTACACATTAATTGTTATTAATAGAGAGAGGAAAAAGCAAGAAGAAAATCTTCAAAAGAATCCAGAGAAAGGCCTGTTTCCAAGTGCTTATATTCTTCTGGATGAAGAAAAAGTGGCAAAAGAAAGAAAGAGGAAGCTGAAAGAATTACTAATCCAAACTTTCAAGGAAAATCACCAGGTAGGTATTACAGTGTCTCTTTACTCAGCAGTCTGTAGCATACATGACAAGAAGCTCCATCAGAGGTGAGATAAAGTTAACACTAAGCTCATGAGAATCTCTTCCTAAATACCAAAATTGCCCTGCTATTTATTATGTGCTGCCCAGCTAACCTGAGACACAGGCCAGTGTACCAAGCCCCTGATCTGGGGCTGTTCTTTTTATACTGCTTATACTATAGAGACTCCTGGGTGAGATTCTGGGAAAAGAGAGGCTAAACATAGAAATTACCTTCTTCAGAATAGCATTTAACTACTTAGTTATTTCTCTGGCAGTTTTTGAAAGCTTGGCTTCTATTTTAACCAAACTTCTACTTTGGTCTGCTGTATCTGGGTTATTTAGAAGGCATGAGAACAAGCTACTTGCCCTTTAGTAGCTTAAACCCTAAAGCGGTGATACACATACGTGTGCCTCTCTTTCTATTGATCTGCATTTTTTAAAAATTTTTACCTTTTACTCTATCCATTTTTGGTTACTCTGAAAGTATCTGATCACTTTTATACTGATCAGTGAAGGGCAACTAATAGTCTGAATTTGGAGCTGGTAACATTTCATGTAAAATGAATTACTCATAAGGTTTGTACACAAGATGGTTGGATGAGAGAAGAATATGCAGCATGTATATTTTCTGTATCCTTAGAACAAACTCAGTATGGCCTTAGGCTTTGCTGAAATTAAATGAAAGTTAATAGAATAAATATGTGAACAAATCGATTTAACAAGAGAAAAGAGAATATTAGGAAGATATTGAGGGAGTTTGATAAATGGGCAATAGACTTCTAAAGGCCCTAGAAATCAATAATAGGAATTTGAATATGATATGGTCACCTAAGATATGCAGAAAAAAGTAAGGTAGTCAACGCCATTTTGAAAAAGAAACATTTGAAGGTGGCATCTGGGATTAATAGGCAGAAGTCATAATTATCCAGCCAGAAATACAGAAAGATTGGTCAAACTTTCATTTTCAGGACTATAAAGGGAAATGTGGTAGGAGAACATGTTAAGATTGATATTTTGAGGAAGATTGGGAAAGTGAGCTTTGCATCCTTCATGAGACACAATGAGTATGTCCTACTATAGTAACGGTTAAGATTTCTGAGAGAAAATAGGAAGAGGAATAAGTGTCCAGGGGGCCATCCTGAGAAGGCATATAGAAAAAGTGCCATGATATATTACCCAGCCAGTGAGAAATGAATAAACCATGGATTCCATAAAATTTTGATTTTAAAATTGTTTTGAAGTTTACTGTGTAATAAGAAATCAGATAGATATGTTTTATTTTTTTCCTTAAACTCTCACCCATTAATTTTATTTATTTTTGTTTTTTTGAGACAGAATCTCGCTATGTAGCTCAGGCTGGCCTTGGACTCACTATGTAGCCCAGTGTGGCCTCGAACTCAGTGGTCCTCCTGCCTCAGCCTTCCAAAGTGCTGGGATTACAGGCGTGAGCCACCACACCTGGCTCACCCATTAATTTTAGCAGCCAATGGTGTATCTTGCCTGTGACAGTTTTTAAGGTGGTATTTGTCTAATGGTGATTTTATAATTCCCTCATTTCTTTAGATGTATTAATTTAAATTCTTTTCTTTTTTTTTCTTATTCAGTACTGGGGATTGAATCTAAAAAGCTCACATGTGCCAAGCTTTGTACCACTGAGCTACATCTGCGCTCTTTTTTTTTTTAACTTTAAGGCGGGCTCTTGCTATGTTGCCCAGGCTGGCCTGGAACATGTAATCCTCCTGCCTTAGCCTCCCAAGTAGCTAGAATTACAGGTATGTACCACCATGCCTGATTTGAAGTTCTTCTAGAAGGAGGAATTATCCTTCCTCCTCCATTTATTCATTTGTTTATTTATGCAATTCTTTATTTGGTATGGTCTTGTTGATACATATTTTATTCCAGAATTGTAATCTAATATTATTATTAACTTTGTTATTAATTTATTCCAGCTTTGACTGCTGGAAAATCTTTCAGCCTGGCTCCTCTTTCCTTTTAACAACTTCCATCCTTTTTTGTGTACTTCCTGTTTTTATGGCACTACCAAAGGCTCATTTTTATTTTCCCTGCCTTAGTCCTGGAATAGGCCATTTCTACGCAGTACCTTGGTTCTTTTTATTGGAGGATGGTCTTTAGAAAGCAAATTAGTTGCTTCCATATGTTGAGGTGTCATTGATCCTAGGCCCTCTTAGCAGAGCGAGCTGTGTATGCATACACATTCTATTTATTTTACATTTGTGTATTTGTATACATATTAAAATCCAACAGCTCCTACTGATATACCTCCTTTCAGTACAACATGGGACTGACTTCTGCACTATCTGAATTTTTGCTAAGTAATTGTGAATTCATGATGATATTTTCAATGCCAATCCAGTACCACAGGTTTCAGTGCAGCTTTTCCCACTTGCTCATTTGCAATTCCTTTCTTTGACAGTAAGAACGTGGCTCTCCTTATCCACATTCTATTTAAATACTAGTTCGATCCTGCTATTAGAAAAGTAGTTTCAAAATTGCTAACCCAACCACTGTGGAAGCAAATGTACTAACTAGAACACAATATTTGTACAATTATTTTATCTTAGCCTTAGTATTCACTCAAATACTAACTCCAATTTTATTTTCCCTTCAGTATGACTGTATTATCCATTTGTAATACAGGTAGGAAACTTTTTTCCGTGTATTTGAGCACAAGTGATTCATGGTAAAAGTCCCTGTGCAAGACTTTCACCCTTTTACATAGACTTAGCTGTAGACAGGACAGTGGTCTGGTAAACCTCACAGGACTAGGCAGGCCCTCTGGGCTCTTTATATTAGTCTAATCCTCACTCCCAGCCTGGTTCAAAAGGAGCTGTCCTGGGTAATGATACCTGGATACTCAACAGCCAACTACAGACGTAGGAAGAAAAGGAGGATAGTCTTGAGGTGAGCAACCGGATGACTGGATGCTCTCAGTAGCCTTGGTTTCAGGTCCTGGATTTGATGCCCAGCACAGAAAAAACAAAACAAACAAGCAACAAAGCAAGTTCGAGTACTGCTCTTTTTATGCATCTTTTATTTCATTGCTTTGTCTCTTTGGTGCATCAGAAACTTATTCTTGTATAGAAACTTTCTACTCCCAGTCTATTCTATTTTCTCTTTCATCTTGTAGTGAAATCTCTTGGGGAGATTCAGCATTCCACGTGTCACTGCTAATTAGCAGAAACAACAAGGGATTAACTATGAAATTCTTACACTATTTGGAAAGTGGCTTAATTCTCATTGTACTCTGCAATATGTTTTTGTTTTGTTAATAAGATTAGAAATGCTATGATCTTTCCTGATTGTGAAAGCTGAAAAAGAATAATGAAAGATGGGGTGATACTAACCTAAATCTTAATTCTCAGGGGGTGGTAAGATTTTGATTTGCTTATTTAATTAGGTTTTTCTGTTAGAGAATATGATAATAATGACCCAAAGGAGTCATTGTTAATGTTTTGCTTATGATGTTGTCCTTTCCAAAAGTCCACCCTAAAAACTAAACGAAGGAAACAAGGAAACATATAGAAAAGAAGCCTGTACTTTTTTTCTGACAGGATAATGAAAACTATATTTAAGTATCTCATTTATATAACATGATTCCTTTCCAAAGATCATATCTGCCTGCACACCACTGAAGCAAAACCATTTCTGAAATGACACAGAGGAACTATCCTTTCCCTGGTATCTTATATTTGGTAGGAAAATCCTTTTTGCAAATAAAACTCCATTGGCAAAATGCCAGTACACATAATGGAGAATATGGGGATTCATGACTCTTGTCTCTAGAATTATTGCCAAGGTCTATGTGTGGTATGCATCTTAGGGAGCATTTGAAATATTGTTCTGTATTATTTTATATAGGCTGTGCCATAGCAAATTTCCAAGTCAGATTTTATCAATTTGGACAAGGAATTTGCTTGTTTATTTTGCAGTTGTTCTGCCTTCCCTTGCTCTATGAGTAACCCTGATTTTCCATTCTCACAGAGGGGATAGTGAAAGCCAATTTACCAGAATCTCGGGCCTTTCACAGTGCTATAAGGTTCCTATTCTTGAATATGTGAGGGGTTTTTATGCAAGGAAGGGATCTTTCAAAGTAGTATTGATTAAAATTTTCTTTTAGAAAGTTAATAAAAGGACTCTAGACATTTCAAGTAAATATTTATAAGGCTCTTCAGTGGGTAAGAAACAAATGATATCACATCATTGTCTCACTGTCAGACTACCTGGAAGTGAAGCGAGCAGCATTTGTATGATACATTCTTAGGTAAGTTTTGTTCTTGGCATAGTTTCTGTGTATGACCAGAGGTGGAAAAGGGTGGGCAGTGAGTAGGGATTGGTGGAGAGGGAAGAAAGTCCCAAAGGGAAAGAGAAGGCAACGGGGGAGCTCAGTAAACCTGTGATGGCATTGTGTCAACTAGTCTGGAAGAAAAAAAAAATTAGTCTGGGCTCTGTTGGGAAAGGAGTTTTATCCTTTTCAGGTTATAGTTTGTATTCAAGTCATTCTTTACAAGAGCCCAGAGACTTGCTGGTTAAGAGTTTACTTCAAGGAGCCAGGTATACTGGCGTGCACCTATAATCCTAGCTGCTTGGGAGGTTGAGACAGGAGGACCATGAGTCAAGGCCAGTCGAGGCAATTTAGTGAGACTTTCTCAAAATAAAAATTGTGTAAAGGGCCTGGAATGTTATTCAGTGGTTGAGCACTTGCCTAGCATGTGTGAGGCACTGGATTCAATCCCTAGTATCACTAAAAAAATTAAAATTAAATTTAAAGAATTTACTGTTTACTAATCTAAGCAATTGCTTCCTGTAATTCTGCTTGTAGAGGGAAATGGAAGAACTATTAGATAAATACAGAAGTATTTTTTTATTGAAACTCCTTAGCAGAATTAAGAAGAATTTTTGTATATTACTGCTACATATTGATATAGTTATGAGTAAAGTGATATAATGTCTGTCTGGGGTTTATTTTTAAATACTCTAGGGGAAAAGGTGGCTGGAGATAGATCATGATTAGTAAAATGTTGATAACTTCTGAAGCTGAAGGAAGGCCTATCTTTTGATCTTTTGGATATGTTTGTTAAATTTTTGTGAAGCGTTTTTTTTTGTTTGTTTGTTTGTTTGTTTGTTTGTTTTTTAAGCAAGAGAAAAACACTTAAACACAGAAATTTCACACTGCAGTTGTCAAAGTATAGGCCTCTAGGTTTTTCTCTGAAACCTAAAAGCAAGTCCAGGTTTTAGTATTGTGTTTGGGAAACTCAATGTATTTCCTCTAATGTAATTAATTACAAGAGTATGTATGCTTGAGGGTGAAGGGGTACTGTGATTTCATCTTTATTTGAGGGTGCAAAATTATGAAAATCAGGATTAGGGTGGTTCACAGGGTACTGCTTTTCCATTGCAAAATTCAGGGCTGACCTTTCCCTCTGGAGACTTACTTGGCCGTGGTAAAGATCCTCCTCTCCCCAAACCCCAGACTCTGTGACATCAGTGGGGTCTTTTGCCTGGCTACAGTGGTTCCCAAAAGGGATCGGGAAAATAAGGACTTTCATAGCAAAAGAAAATCTATTCCTTCTGAAGTCAGAGTAACACCAAGTCACTGGAGGCTGTGGGGTAGGTGAGGTATGCATTTGAACTTGGCCAATTCCCCTAGACCACCAGTTGCACCATTTTGTTTCATTCAGCAAAAAATAAATTGTAAAGTTGTTGACATTTTTGTCCTCTTTACAATTCATTGTTTATTTTTCCATGACGAAGAATTTTGATGCAATTATCACTGAGCTTTCTGACAAAAAGGAAATAACTGAGGAATTTTGATGAGTTACCCACTTCATTAATCAGAACAAGCATCTCTAGTGACAGGGTTAGAATTACAATGAAGATTAGATAGCAAATTGCTGTTCCACCTAATGTCAATCATTCGCAATGACAGCAGTGTGATTACACTTCAGGGAAGAGCTTTTCTTGCCAACAGAATGAGGGCAACTCTAGTGCAGGTAATAAATTTAGCAGGGCGAGCTGTCATTTTTTTTTTGTCTTGAGTGGAATCCTTAACAACCAAATGATGTCTTGTGGAAGATTTTGAGGGGAGGAAAGCATTTCACTTTAAAGCTTTCTAAATTTCATACTGTAGTATTTTATTTTAAAAATTATTATAGGAATGATTCATCCCCACAGTGACTTTCTATACTTCATTTACCTGTATCAAGCCTTAATTATCACTACAACTATGATAAAGAGATAGTAGAAGTTGGAAAAAGAGGGTAGGACTGTATTTGAAAAGCTATCAGAAATAAAAATCTAGTGCAGAAACAAAAGGAAAAAATAAAGGTCAGACTAGTTCTTGACTAGTTAAAAGTTTAACTTCTCTTGACTTAAACAAAATGGCTTTCTCGTCCGGCCTGGTTTTGGTTTTAAATACTGTAATAGTTCTTGTTTCAAAGAACAAAGGAATAGTGCTCAGAGTATAGAACTGAAAAGAAGAAGCAGGCCTGGGAGCAGTACGGAGTTTACTGAGGGGAGGGAAGAGTAGGACAAATACCTAGATGGAATCTGTGGAAAAGTACAACTTCTCTTCCCTTCTTAAAATCCACAACCACCACCACCACCACAAGAATAGACAAGAAGGACCGAGAGTGTATTCCTTTCCTAAATGTTTTTTGTCTTCCGGGCAAGTTTACGAGACTCATGTTAACCTGCATAATGTTTGATGCAAATCAGGAAGAACTAAGCAGCTATCCTTGATTCATACTTTGTTTTATTTAAATTTTAATAGGATTGCTTTTTTGAGCAGGCAAAAAAAAAAAAAAACCAAAACAATAGTAAGTTGATTTTAAGAAAGCAGCTGCTCAGTGACACTTTGCTCTGAAAGTCTCAAGTGTTTTTAAAGAAATATATTGACTGCAGAATTTATAAACCCAAATTTTCCCCTCTTAAATTCATCTAGGTTCCTAACTGATGCTATTCTTCAATGGTAAGTCATAGAGTTTTATTTCATTAAAAAAGAAGAGTATGATAATAGTACATAAGACCCTAATGTGAAATAGGAAGAAAAATGCTAAAGGTGTAGGGAAAGTGGGAAGGGTAGGGGAAAGGTAGTAAGGGAAAGGAAAAAAATAGGAGAAAATGAAAAAGTGGAAATAAAATGTTTGTAAATGGGGAGGAGAGGAGGGAGGAAGATAGGACAGGGACAAGGGGAAAAAATGAGAACCAAGACCTGTCATGTAAAGGTACAAGATCCCAGTAATTAATGTAACTGTACTGTATACCTAAAATGTACCAATAAACTCAATGAGGAAAAAAAAAGAAGAGTATGTACAATTTCTGTATTTTGTAGTTAAGATCTAAGTATCAAAATAGTACATGCATAGAAAATAAAGAACTCAGCATATAACTTTATCATAGGTCACTTGCCTAGCATATAATAAGCCTTGGATTTGATTATCAGAACTGAAAAAAATATATATATAATACATGGAAGTTGCTGTAAACTTTACAGAGAAGAGGAATATAAAAATCCAAGGACACTACTAATGGAGCTGTTACTGTCCAGGTGGATTATGTTTATACTATTTCATCATTAGAAATAACCCAGGATTTAAAATTAGAGATAGCTATGCAGATTGTATTTCACCAAGTCTTTTAGTAGGAATCTCTTAAATGAATCCTGTAAATAAACATGGGATTGTTTTTTGGCTGTAGCACAATATGAATACCATTTTTATGCTATGTTTTGTGAGGTAGGTAAACAAATAATGAAAAAGAAGGTGTATGCCCTCAATCTACCAGATATGTTTCTTCTCCTTGTTACGACTGAGGCATATCTATATTTAGTAAATCTCCTTTCCTCCTTTCCTTCTTCCCTCCCTCATCTGTCCTGCCTGCCTTCCTTCCTGCCTTCCTTCCTTCCTTCCAAGGGATCTAAAGTGAAGATCTGGAAAATGTGCCCTCACTTGACATAATGGAAATGGACTAAGGGCTTTTTTAAAGTTTGCCTTGGTTTCTCCCTATGAGAAATTGTGTTTGTCTAAATGGGAATATAACTGATACCCTGTGTGGGAAATAATTCTAGCAAAATAGTATATTTCTAAGAATTCTAGTATATGTTGTTTTCTTGTATTCTTGGGGTTTTTTTTTTTCTGATAGAGTAGAGATTATATCTTACAAAAGTAGAGATTATATCTTGCATGATTTTGTTCAGAGTTCCCAAGTTCAAGCACAGTGGTACTTAGCATATGTTGAAGTAGTGAATAGCTATATATTTTTACAAAGAAGAAAATAATACAACTGACCTAAAATCTTTGAAGGTGGTGTTAGGAATTCCCTGTACTCCCCATGAAGTCATCTCCTGTGAGGTGACTTTCTCTGTTCACCTCCCCACTCTCAGTGCCACTCCCAGATTTGCCATTCCCATTTATGAGCCCTATTCCCTCTTTTCAGGAGGTTCAAAGTCTACTGGAAACCAGTAAACTGATGATTATGATATAGTGTCATGAGGGTTTGACTAAAGGAAGCATAGAATGCTCTGGGAATATGGTGGGTTGGCATTTACAGTTTGAGGGGGTTTTTAATAGAAAGGCTTCCTGAGAAAGGTGACTCTAGACCGAAAGGAGGCAGAAAAGAAAAGGAAAGTGGCAGAAAATTGCAGGTAGCCTAAATATCTAGACGCTAGTCTGCTTACTAAAGCCCTAACATAGTAAGCCCAAGTAAAATTGTTGCTTTCAGGTGTTCTCCTTGGGGATCTGAGGCCCCATTTAATCCTCCTGGTAGTTCCCATGTTCACTTGTGTAGAATATCAGTAGTATTGATAAAAATGAATTGAGTGGTTGGCGTTTTACATTCCAAGACAGCCTGGCAGGACAGGCTATGTTGGAAGCAGCCCTTTCAGGCCTCTCAAGCCCCTGGTTCATGTTTCAGATATGACTTGTTATTGCAGCTCCCCAGAAGACTGGTGCCCTACATTGAGAATGTGTTATTTTAGTTTAAGTCATAAGACTCAGAAGACCTCAGCTGTGTGACTTGAATATTTCTTATCACTCTAAGCTTAAAGGAATTGTGTTTTCTCTGTTTTCTTCCGTCAAGACAAGTTTCTAGATTTGTTAGAAAAAAGTATAGAGAAAATCTGGGAAGCCTCTCAATATTAGAAACATTGGTGCCGACTAACGGTAACTTTCCAAATATTTCCATTGCAGTGTCAAAAACGATATTTCTCTGCCTGGCACAAGCTAATCCTCGATAATAGGATTAATCTGGGGAAAGCTGGGACCCTGTCTGGCTGGAAGCTTCAACTGAAGGTCCTGCGAGCCTGGAGAGACTATACACGATCCCAGAAGCTGGACCGGGTAACTCAGACCTTGGAAAATGACCTTAGGGAAGAAAACAGGTACTATCACTTCTACTATGGTAAACCATCTAGTGTGTTTATCTAGGGCATCTTCCTCCGGAAGAATCCAGAAATAAACTTTAAAAGTGCTATTCACTGAAATCATCTTATCCACTTATAAAATATGGAAGTCAGTTTTTTTCTGTCCATTGCAACTTGAAAATTTTAACTGAAAATTATAAGCAAACAAAAACTAGTTGATTAAAATATACTAATGTATGGGATCTGTAAAGGAAGTAAGTCTTGGGCTTTTCCCTAATGCTAATGGAGTAGCATTGCAGCTTGGACCATCTCACAATTCAAAAGGGGATTTGGTTTATATGGCAATAATTCTCATTGATAGAAATCACTGTCTGCACACAGAATGTTAATTAAGGACACAGGGAACATCCATCTGAGAGGGCCAACCTGCCAACAGTGATTCCTCCCACTCTGCTGTCTTTTGTTCCACATCTTATTTAGAGGTTTTTGACACTTTTATATCAGTTCCTTCTTGTGCTTATGACACAACACAAGCATAAGACACAGAATTGGTGTTCAAGTGAAGCTTTCTTTGTTCTATCATCTTACAATTAAATAATTTTCTTCTTCTCATTCCCCGTTCAAACTTTACATTCTGTTTCTGTTTTTGTTTTTATTTTTTTTTTGGTGGTGCTGGGTATTGAACCCAGCACTTCCCACGTGCTCTACCAGCCACTGAGCTGCACCCCTCCCTCCCCATCCACTTCGCATTCTAGATCAACATCATAGACGTACAAGAAGCCCTTTGTTTATTGGGGGGACATGTTCTTGTATAAGGGGTAATTTGGGGTTCATGTTCACTTTCCTACTGGCATCTCTGTCATTCATTCAGGATGAAAAATGGAGTGAGTGGTATATACACTTAGAAGGTCATGGTGCCCCCTAAGCTGCCCTGTGACAACATTGGGCCCTGGGGAGGTTACATAGGAGAGTGTGGCTCTTTGTCCTCAGAGAACTCATGTTGTGTGAGGAAAACAAGATCTCGAGACAAGTACAGGTATGGAGCGGTGATATAAACTGAAAAATATATCTCTTTTCCCTGTTGCGGGAAGCAGAGGGAAGCATCACTGTTGCCGGAGAGACTCCACGGGAGTGCCAGAGAAGCTAGGAGTGGTGGTGCACTCCTGTGATCCCAGTGCTCTGGGAGGCTGAGGCCAGAGGATCACATGTTTGAGCCTGCCTAGGCAATTTAGTGTTTTAATGAGACAAAATATTTAGTGTCTCACATAGAAAAAAATAAGTGCTGGGGATTTAGTTTGGTGTGAGGACACTGGGTTCACTCCCCAGTACAAGAAAGGAAGAGGCCAGGAAAAGCTTTGTCAGGATCTGGGTTCTTCCTGGTAAGCAGATATTTCTAGGTATAGACAGGAAAATGAGGTAATGGCCTGAAATGCAGCTGTCTCAATTGGCTAGAAGCCATCCAGCATGTGGTTGTCAATTCCATTAACTTCTAAAAGGCTTTAAATGCCAGGACAAGGTGTTTATTCCTGGATAATAAAGGTAAATCTTACAGGTTTTTTTTTTAAGCTGGAAGGGGAAGTGGGAGGGGGGTGGGAGAGTGACCTAGTCAATTTCCTTTTCCTATAGTCTCCTGAGGAAAATCTTCAGTAATTTGTTTCCAGAATCTCAGAAAGTAGTAGTGATTATCATAAGAAATTGAGAGGATATCTTACAGAAAATCAAATGCTGGAGGATTTGTTGGATAAAGAAAGTTAACGGGAAGTGGTGTAAGGCAAAAGCACTGTGAGTGATGGCAGAAAGTGAGTATGTTAGAAGAAACTTGTAGAAGAAAAGTCTGGAAAATTTAGGATTCCATTCCAATTAAGCTATTTAAATATAAAAACAGTAAATGAGGATTTCATAATTTCATTATGTGCCATTTTTTTCAGAAAGATCTCAGAACTTTTCATCTTGTATCTGAATTATTTTCAGGTGCCTATTTTTAATGTTCAGAATGGGTACTAAATTTTTTAAAACTGCCAGAGTTAGAAAATATTTAACTTATAATAATTTTTTACTACAAAGCTTTAAAACAAAAAAATATCCTAGAGCAGGAAGGCACCTCAGGGATGGTCTGATCCAGTCCATCATTTTACAGGTGGTTAAAGGACAGCCCAGAGAGAATAGTAAGTGAGTCTTACAGAGTTGAGTAGCTTGTCTACGACTGGAAGCTTATCTTTTTTATTGTCAGATGCTTTTTCTTACATGACACAGTGCCTGTGTTTAAAAAATAGCATCCAGGTCATAGATCCACAAGACACCCTGTTTTTTTTTTTTCATCTGCATTGTGATTTACTGTAGATTGTAACAGGTGAGAAATAAGAATGGCAATTTTTTTTTTATATCGGGGATCAAACTCAGGACCTTGCACTTGCCAGGCAGGCATGACACCCCTGAGCTACATCCTGGCCCAAGAGTGGTAATTTTAAAGTGACAGGTCACCCCAGAAACATAGGAGAAAGGAGCTATTCCACATAGACTTTCTATTGTAGAAAAGTCCTCCAAATCTCTGGCTCTGTACATGTTCTAGAAATTATTTCAGGAAGTTAAGTGGGGTGATTTCCTTCCATGATAGTTGGGGATAAGAAAAGTGGAGGGTAACAAAACCTCAAGGGTGGCTATTTACTATGCTTATTGGGGTTTCTCCCATTGCCTCAGTAGACACCAGGTAATTTGTTGAACAGTGAGTCCGTGAGTGAATGAAGTTGCTTGTGTTTCTGAAATTTAATTTGGGTGTTCAAGCATTCTTCCTAAACAGTGAGCTCAAGGAAAAGAGAGGAGTTATTATAATGGATTATTCATGGAAAAATTTTGTTTTTACTAGGTTGGAGAAACACATGTGATGGTGACCCATCTGCCAGAGGTTGTTGAAATTATTTATGTTATTTAGACATCAGCTGAGTCCTCTTCCTCCTCCAGCTTCTGCACCCATATGGGTTTGCCCCCTGAGGTTTCCCTGATTGGCTTATTCCCATCCCCAAGGGATAGCCCTCCTTACAGAGCTCAGTGTTGAAGGCTTTCTTCTGTTTTCCCCACTTTTTCTAAGAAGCAACAACAAATCCCTCACTTCTTATTCCTAATGAAGCAACCACCATTTTTTCTCTTTTTAAGCTTGTGTGCGCCCTCACCTCCACTCACTCCAAGGGTTCGGCCAACCTACTTCTGAAAATGCATCTTGTTTTCCCTAATAGGAATTGCGGTTACTCTATTTTTATCCATCTTTCTTCTTTTAAAATGATTGTACTAATCGTGTTGTAAAATTTTGACATGGTATCATAATACAATTTCAATATTAGTAAATATTTCCAAACCCTGAGGATCAATTTACCTAGGTATTGTAACAAAATTCTAAGGTTCATACCTTTGACATGATGATGTTGAATTTTGAACTTGTGTTGTCAGTTTTCTTATTTACATTTACAAGTTGGTTACAGGTCTTCTCTTCCTCCTCTCTACTTTCCTCCCTTAATTTTCAGGAAGCCCTAGACAAAACGGGGGGGAGTAGAATTTGTTTTCCACCTTCTCTGTCAGCTTTCTTTTCTTTCTTTCTTTCTTTTTTTTTTTTTTTTTTTTTTTTTTATTTGTCTGTACCAGGGATTGAACTCAGGTCCTTGTGCTTGCAAGGCAGGTGGTGGAACCACTGAGCTAAAATCTCCAACCTCTGTCAACTTTCTTGAGTCCTTCTTCACTGATTTGTCAGTTCCTTCCAGGGAAGCACCTCGCTCTTCCCTGTGTTAATCTTCACAGAATCTTCGGTCCTGCCCTGTCCTACAGCGGTGCCTTGGGCCTTTTCTGAAACATTCTTTTATCTCTTCCCTTCTTCCCTGAAATGCCTCACGCTTTACTACTATAATCCTTAGTTGTCAGATATTCTTCATTTCCAGCACTTGAGATTTCAGCCTTCTTTCAGGCAATTATTCATGGAGTGTCTTTGCTAATCATGTTTGATTGTTCGTCCCTCTGCTCACCTGGGTACACAGGTGAGTGGCCAGAAGCCACATGACATCTGCAGCTGGTTAAGCTCCTGATAGGTCTATCAGAGGGGCAGGAGGACCAGACTGGCAATGCCCGACTTGCTTTAAAAACTCTTTAACAGAATTGTCTTATCTTCCACTTTTTCCCGTGGTCTACCTGGTACATTATTGAGTGCATTAGCTTACTCTCGTTCCTATTCTGCTGAACGTGCCCATCCTAAATGCAGCTGTTCCTGTCACTGCTGTTTTTATGTTCTGAATCTGATTTCAGCACTCAGGCAGATCACTAGTATGTGTTTATTAGTTCTCATTCGCTTTTTGAAAATTCAGGAAACTTTTTTTTTTAGATATCCAGTAAACTTGTACTAAAATAATGCTATTACCTCACATGTGAAGTTTGTTTTGAAATTTCAGAATTTTTTATTTAATTAACTTCCCCCCAAAAAAAATTCTTGTAGGACTGCAGTGTACCATTTTTGAGGGTGAATCTGCAGCCTAGAAACTTTCAAGTGCTTTTCCAGTGTCCTGGATCTAGTTAGCAGTCTTCTGATTTCTAGGTTTTAAATTATGTGCCTCTCACTAAGTATGACTTGAGTTGTGGATCCTTGGCTGCACTGTTTATATTTAAATTCCTCTTTAAACCTTTTGTATTTCATGCTCTTAGGTCTGCAGAGACAGTTTTTCTCTGCATGGAATTATGTAATTATGATGATCAGTTATATACTCCTGCTAAATTTTTCTGATTTTTAGCTTGCAAACATATCAGGACAGGTTGTGTTCCACAAAAGAACTGTCCCTCATAGTGTGATTACCTGGGCATTGTGTCTGGAGACATCTTTTTTGTGATCTTTTACCCAAGTAAATTGTGTCTAAGGTTTTAGGAAATTTAGGTCATTTTTCGCCTTCAAAAATATTTACGTTTCTAGTGTCATCTTTTAAAATATATATATGTATGTATATATATATATATATATATATATATACATACATATTGGCTTATATAGAATTTTGTCACTCTGCTGAAGTGAACTGCAAGGAAGCAGGAAATGAACTGGCCTTGTCTCTGAATCCTTAGTTTCCTTGTTTCCGCATCTGCCCTTCCACTTCAACCCACAAATATGGCTACATTTTCATGACCTACATAATCATCGTAGAGTGGGCTCTAAGCACTGTCATGAACATGCATTGTGTTAGTCTCTCAGTTTCTTGCTTTTTAATCTTACTGTACCTAGAAAAATGTTTTTCTCTTTGCCTTTTCTTAATCTCCCTGATGGTCAACCCTAAGTTCTTTTAGATCTTTATACTGTAAAAAAAAAACTATGAAATTAACACATCAGGTAAATTGCACACTTCTCTTTCCAGAGCAGATTGACGTCAATTGAATATTACTGTATATATACAAAGTTGTATTTTATGTTACAGTATAACTTTTTTAATGTAAGTGGAACTCAAAAGAGCTTTAAAGGTCATATAAGCATTAAGAACTGTAGAAATGTTTTCCTGACTCACTGGCTTAAGAACTTTATGATTTTCTTGATATGACCCCATAGTCCATGAGGATAGTTAAGCGTTAAATATGTTGAACAGAAATGAATATGTAATCAATGTTATGGAAAACGTGTATTAGTCAACATTACAACATAAAATCAAGGGGGCATCTAAATGATATTTGATTTTAAACCCTAAAACTGATCTCTGGATGCCACATAAGTTCCACGCTCTTAACTCACTTCTTCAAGGATGATAACCATCTGCCTAGAGATGATCACAGAGACCTCTATGCTTGAATTCTCGACTGGCTGCCACCAGAGTGTCTTCAAAGATTCACACTAGAAAGACTGTGATGCTACTTCCCCACTCCACTCAGTCCGGTTCCCTGGCATTTACAGAGTCTCTAGGAATCAAATGATGTAGAGGATGAGTGAGCTCCCTGAGAGCAAGTGCCTGGCTTTGGACTTTCTCACATGTCTAGCGTTTGGAAGGTGTCTCCACAAGACCCTTACTCATTGAGTTAGGAGGGTTAGTGAATGAGTCGTTCTCCCTTCCCTGACTCTTTTTTTTTTTTTTTTTTTTTTTTTTTTTTCCCTGTTTTTCTATGTTTTTGTGACAGAGTCGCA